TCATAGATTAAGTTCAAAGCAAGGATAGAAAAAAGCGAGATACGAGTTTGTCAGTGCATAGAGTGATCAAGCGGCGGAGTCACTAGCATCCTGATCTTGCGTATTCCACGCCGAGTTGAGGTCGAGGCTAGCGAGCGTGCCATTCACGTCCTCGATAGCGTCGTGCTCCTTAGCAGCGACGTGCACACCGGCGCGAGGTGGACTTGAACGCTTCGAAGACGGGGGACGCGAGATTGCGAGGCTCATCGGCGGGTGGGCGGGGTCGGTTAACGGGTACGGACCGAGACGTTGAGAGAGACCACCGCTCGACGGGCGCGAGGCATGCTGGGGTATCCCGGATCCAGGAGTAACAGTTCCTCCGGTAAAATCCTTCGGCACAACGCCGTTCGCCTCGCTGAACGAGACGGAAAAGTTGCTCTTTGCAGGCTGGACGAGAGAAGCAGTCGACGAGAGGCGAACTTGTTCCGCGAAGACGCTCGGATCATCGGGCGAGAACGGCGAGAACGACACCTGCTGGTGGAGACGGCTATCATCTCCACCGCTACTATCAGAGCGCGCCGTCGACGAGCCCGACGTGGAATATATGTCAAAAGATCGATTGCTGTCCTCGGACGTGCGTGACATCACAAGACTGCGAAGACTTTCCTCACTGAGCTTCCTGGCAGCGAAGTCTTCGGGAGCTGCCTGCATGGGAGCTCCGTTCGTGGGCACAAAATTGGTGAGGCCCAGAGACCGGAGAAGCTGGAACGCCTGCTCAGGCGTTAAAGTGACCGGGCCGCCAGCAGGTTCCGACTGAGATTGAGATAGTGGTGATGACGCTGTCTGGTGCAAAGGCTGGGACTGGGGATGCGGCTGAGCCTGGGGTTGGGGTTGCACCTGATGCTGAGACAGAGGTGGGACCGGAGGTTGAGTCAAGGACTGGTGTGGAGGCTGCACCTGAGGCTGGACAGCAAAATTCGGTGTCTGAGCAAGCTGCAGAGCAGCATTCTGCGCCGCCTGGGCAGCTGCTTGTGCGGCCTTGTCTGCGAACAACATGAATTCCCCAAGTCTGGCAATGAGATTCGAGAGAGACGAACACTGACTGCGGCCCCAGCTGAGACGAATACGACTACCGCCAATAGGGAAACCTTGCATCCTGTCGATCGCACGCTCGGCGTCGTTCTTGCGCACGAACTGAACGAAGCCGCAGTGCTTCCCCGCTGGAACTTTGACCTATACAACGGTCAAAAAGAGAAGCTCTAACGTAAGATGCTATCACTTGCATAGTGGATGTCACCAAACGGCGCAAAGAACGTGCGCAACGTCTCCTCCGAGATGAGTGGCGACAGCCCGCCGACGAAGACCGTCGTATTGTATGGATCCGTGGATGTGAGCTGCTCGCCATTCGGCCCGATCAAGCTGCTGAGAATCGCGCGAACCTGCGACTGGTACTTGGTCGCGTCGTCAGATGAGCCGAACCGGGGCGGCTCGGGAAGAGGCTGATGGGGCCGTCCGTTGAAGGAACTTGTCACAGATCCGATGGACGAGAGTGGGGCAGGGGCTCCAGGAGTCCTAGCCGCTGCCGCCGCTTGCGCGATCTGCACAAGCACGTTCGGTGGGATGTTTGCAAGATCGTCTGCTTTCAAGGATGCACTCCCGTGCGAGAGGTTAGCCGACACCGAAGATACAGTGTTCGAGGGCGCGAGCGACTGAACGGGGTTTAGAGGCTTCTCGGACGTAGCGAAGGCCGAAGTCAGGGAAGTGTGACGTGTATCGAAAGCGCCCTGCGGTGGCATCTGCGGGGGTACCTGCGACGGCGGCATCTGTACTTGAGGCAGATCGAAAGACGCCGGCGGTTTGAACTTCGCGGTAGCGGGTGAGATACGCACTGAATGTACTGTCAGTCATGCTGGAAGAGGGCAACCAAGCGAACAGCATACTCGGACGCGAGAGGCAATAGAGCCCATGCATCTCAATGAGTGCACGCTGTTGATCTGCCTCCTCTGTGAACCTAAAAACCAAAAAAAAATTTGATTGATGACGCGGCGCTTTCAAGCGTGAAGACATACCGAACGAAACCATACCCCCTAGAGATGCCCGTAACGGGGTCCAGCATAATCTTTGCACTCTTGCAACTCAGGAAAGGCCGGATGAACTTGGGCTCACGGTCGTTTCGCAGCCCGAGGACAGGGTTACGGAAGACAGCCACCAGGTCCGAGTTGGACGCTTCGGGCGCGAGGTCCCCAACGAAGATCGAATACTCCTTCGAAATAGGCTGCGCTGGCGGAGACGCTGAAACAGGCAGGATGGGCATCGTGGATGCCCAGTTGAGCATGAGCTGCTTGTTCGAATTCGGCATGTTGCAAGGTTTACTGTTGATCTGCGAGAGCACGGTCGTAGCGTGTGACGCGGTCGGGAACGTAAGATAGCAGAAGCCGGGGTTGTTCGCCTGAAGTGAGGCAAGGCCGGGTTGCGTCAGCCGCAAACGGTCAGGGCAGCGCGCGCGTGAACACATACCGCCGTGTCCAGCCCCGCGGGCGGCATCTGCACCGTCGCGTCCCACTTCATGAAACTGATGACCTGCTTGGCGTACTCGATGTCCATCCAGGGCTCAAGATCACCCCAGTACAGGGTACGTGACGCGATGTTGGCAGTGGGAGCGGATGCCGTGATCGGATACAAGCCGCTGCTGTTCGCCGAGTGCACGCCACGAGGCGGAAAGGCGTCGCGCTCGCCGACGGACGAGGGGACAAAGGGATGGGCGCCGCCGTCGAACGTAAACGCGGAAGAGTTCGCGGGCACGGCGCCAGGGATGGGTTGCGGGGAAGCGTGGTTAGACGGGAGCAGGGAAGGATTGCTGAGCGGCGGACCCAGAGACTGCGAACTGTGTAGTGGAGGTATCCGTTTGCTCAAAGTATCAGGGGCCCAAGCATTGTTCGCGGCGGACTGGTCGCGGTCAAACATTCCGAACGGTCGCGGAACGGACGATGTCAGGGGCTGCGTCGTGGCAGCCGACAGGCCCAGTGACGAAGCAATGGGGTGATCGGTCGAGCCGCCAAAGGGGCTCGTAGGCGACTGAAATCGCTCGAAACTGGAGCGAGAGAAGTTGGAACCGGGAGGAAAGTCGTGGTCTTGAGGTTCGGCGTTAGGCATGAAGAGGGGGTTTGGACGTGTGTCGTGACGGGATGGATTGGAGTCGTTTGGATCCTGAGAATGCGTGGAGAAGCCGAAGCCGGGAGGCTTGTACGTGAACGTAGATGAGCAGTGTCGTGTTTTCGAGGAAGAGCTGTGTGAAGAGAGCAAATGCGACGACGATCGAGGCGGGATGACGGGACAAAAGCGAATCAAGATGCTACCGGAGGCGGGTGTACAGCGAAGGCGGGGGACGACACAAATGCCAAAAATGAGGCGGTTTCGATGGAGGTCAAGAGCAAAGAGCAGACCGAGCCAAGGGAGGGCGAAAGGACCCCAAGGGCCGAGGGGGATTCGGGAAAAGCTCAGGAGGATAGCCACGCCGCTCGCCCGCGCCCTTGGTCTTCTTTTAGCCAGACATCCGCTCTCCCGAACCCGTCACTCCCGTTACTCGGCTTCCAATTTCACTCTCTCCTCGCCTTCCTTCCATCTCACTCCTGCCTCGTTACGATCTCTGATCCTTCGTCGTGGGGAACGTGGCGAAGAACGCAGGCTCACGCATGTAATAAGGACCTCGTTCGCGGAACGACCTGCTTCTAGCAACACGTCGCAGCGCCTGCGCAATTAATCAGCCTCGGCTCTCGCCAGGGGAGCACTGAGACATCCCTCTCCGGCTATACCAGAGCAAGTCGTGCGCCGCAAGTCGCGCGACTTCTCCTAACGCGCCGCCGTTCGACGCTAAGGTCCTCGAGTCAGATCACCGTGCTTCATCGGGCGTCTGTGATCCTTCTGACGCGTCCTGCTCAAAATCCTTCCACGGCTGCGCAACCTCTTGCAAAAACCGTGACTCCCGATACTAACCAAACCATACGCGTCTTCTGTTTTGAAGTACGTCGAACCAATCGCATCCACGGTCCGATTTCCATCCCCTCTCGCTCGCACAGCCAGCGCACCGTGCACCGCGCCGTACGGCGGAAGGAGCGAACAATAGGGGCGCTCGCCCGAACATACTGTCTTGCGATCATGCAAGCACACGCCCCCAGGCTGGTCTCTCCATCGGAACAGCCACCATCTCCGCGCCCCGCATCTAAGACAATGTGCGTGCTTTCCTCATATAGTGCACAATGGACATCCTCCGTGTCCACACGTGTACGTGCGCACGGCCAGCGCGGACGCGCTGCGGCAGAGGATCAGGTGTGTGCATGCTGAGCCCATCGTGCCACGTCTCGTGTTTCCCAAGCCACGATGCTTAGGGGCCATTGGCCATCCTCCCTACCAGTGCTGCGCTATCGGACTCAGTTCTCCCCTCGTTGTTAGGCCGTTCCTGCACGGTTGTTCCTAGATAGCGATTCGCACAGATGGTCTAAGAGTGACCTCTTTTGCGCTGCCAGACAACGCTACACCTGTATTCAGTGTGCCACAAGCTGCCGGGCTTGAGAATCAAATAGCACTAAGTCGTCCAGGCAGCCGTTGACTAGGTCTTGCGAAAGTGTATTACCAGCAGTGGATTATATACGGAGGGATAAGGTAACTTATCCAGTAGTGCGTCATCAAACCAGGGCCCGCTGCAGAACGCGTGAGCAGGTTATCCCTGTCATCCCCCGGGGCACTGCCGGGAGTAGATCTCGCATCCCATTGGCGTTGGCCGGCTTGCATGTATCCCTGTAGCACGATCACAGATTGCGTGCGTATGTACGTGATGCAGTGGAAATAAATCCTATATTCGCCTAATACGACCTCCGTCGGCTTCGACTGGCGGGCCAACACTGAGGGGTCGATGATCAGCCGTTCACAGATCTAGCTGCAATAAGGTCACGAAGCTGTGGGCATTAAATACGTGGGCGTAAAGCAGCGCGGTACGAGACGTCTCAAAACACTTCTTCCATGTCTCCCGCTTAGCTCAGTGGTAGAGCGCGTCACTAGTATACTGCGCTATGACGAGGTCAGTCGTTCAAGTCGGCTAGTGGGAACGAACAGATTTAAGTCCACCTTTTTTTCTCAAAAATTTCCTTTCGCCACCGCTCTCGAACTGCCTGGGTTGGGAATTAGACATACCAACATGACGTCGATACAGTACGAGCGAGAGCGTGCAGTGCACACTTGACCGGAACGAATAAGGGTGCGAGGGATACGGGCAAGCGAGACATGCCCGACTCCGATGCCCGATGCCCGAGGCTCGATCAGCCTCTAAGCTCTAAGCTCTGTAAGACGTGCCCACGCTCTTCCTTCAACGCGGGAGCAGCCAACGCAACGTGTCATTGTGCACTTTGTGGCAATCATGGATCATAAATGGGAAACGATGAAGACACCTTTGTTTTATTTGCGACGGTATAGTACATTGCGATTTTGACACACGTAAGAGCTACAACGTTACAACTCGGCTGCATACGTGCGACCATACTGAGGACTATAGTCCAGAAACTCAGAGTGCAGAGGCGATAAATAAATCGGCCCGTGACACATAATACCGGAAGACGGCGATGCGAAGCAAGTGTGTTAATGGGGGGAGTTGAACTGTCCAAGTGTGAACTTCGCGCAGAGATAAAATAAGGGCGAAAAATGATGCATGCAGAATATGTCCCAGGCATAATAGGAAGCGTTAAAGATCGTACGCGAAAGCGTGCATTCGAACGAGAATCAAGGAGCAGAAATGACATTACGTTCGGAGATGACGGGGAGAAAGATGGTTGCGGACCGTCCGTGGCATGGAAAAGAGGATATGCTTTTCGATTTGAGATGCGAGTGAAAGTGCGAGTCGAGATGACAGTAAGAGCGGCCCAGGGGCAAAGTATACTTTTGATGGAGATAAATGCTGGTTGCAGGTACGATTGTTGTTCCAATTGAAGGATTGTGTTTAACCGAAATCGTGCGATATAAGATGATGCGACGAAGCCAGGAAACGATGAGATGAAGTCGAAATATTGCAGCGAGATGGGTGGCCTAGTAGCCATAGTATGCGCGCTGAAGCAACACAGTCAACGGGTGACCCGAATGTAGGCGTCCAGGATGCTTACCATTCTGTCGCTGTTGTGAGAGAGAGATCGAAAGAAAGTTAGTCTGATGGCATCATTGCAGATGGGAAGGCGAGTGCTTACAAGAGCCAAATAACCTTCGACCCAGTTTTGCAACCGCGCAAGGTAACGATGTGGCCGCGGATAGCGTCGTAGAGGATGGTGCGCTGGTCCTTGTCGATCTGTGGGTGTGATTCAGACAGACAAGGGCTGACCCTAGTCGACATGCTTACGTTGGGGAGCACGGCAGCTATCAATTGACTGCCCGTCACCGAGAGTGCGAGGTCGACGATGATAGCCCTGCGGCCGCTAGGAGCCGTGGATGGTCAGATAGAGACAAAAGAATGCCGGCGGACTAAACGGACCCCTTAGCCGACTCGGCCATACGCTTGACGATACGGTCAAGGGTGTCCTTTCCGCCTTCCTTGAGCGCCTTCGTCACCGACTTGGAGCCCTGCTCATTGGTAGCGAAGTCGAGAAGCCCAGACACGATGTGTTCGAGCGCGAGCTGGCGGTGTTTCAGCGAGCCATGCTCCAGGACTGTCGCGCCACCTCAGATCACTGCGATCAAAACGCGGAGTGCACGTACTGTGCTGGATGCAATAGGAGCCCCACTGGTTCTTCGCGACTTCGGTGAAGACCGCCGGTCCCTGATTGAGGAGCTCGTCGACGATCCCATCCTTGGCAGACTCCTCCAAGTTCTCGAACGCGTGCTATGGAAGCCATAAGAAACCGGGAAATGGACAGTGGAAGTATGCGCAACCTGAACGACCAGCGACCCGGTCTCGTGGCACGCGAGCGATGCCCACTTTCCTTTGAGTGATGAGTTCACGCTGTGCACAGTCGGTAAGCTCGGAGTGTATAAGCAGCGGCTGTAGACGTACTAGGCAAAGATAGGCGGCGCTGGTGGAGTCCAGGTCAACTCCATGATCTAAGACAAGCTTCAGATTAGGACTGGCAGTACGAACGTCCACTGAGGAAACACCTTGCTCCAAACATGCGACGCGTGCTTGTTGACGAGCGTTTGCGCAGGATCGCCCAGCAGAAGCTCAGACACAATCTGAAGGCGGACTTCTTCTTCACAGTCAAGCGCCTTTTGAAGAACATGGCATCCGTAGCAGTTCATGGCCAACTCGACGACGCGTCCACTACCGGTAAGTCGACATGAGAACGCGAACCCTATTATGTCGTCCCGGGATGACATACCGCATGCAATAGACGATCTTACGGCGCTCTTCCGCAGTCGATGCAGCTTCGATACAGCGCTGCACAGCCCAGTTACCGAAGCTATAGGTCCAGTTAGCTTCTCAGCTACGCGGCTTTACGTCGAACGCATACCGGTGGGCCATCATCTCGAACCCACGAGCGCATATGGCATCGATGATCTTACCACGTTCCTCCGCGTCAGCGACCTTGAGCTTCTGCTGGAGGAAGATCGAGGCTTGCTGGTCAGATGACTTGATGATCCGCGAGACGAAGAGCGCATAAGGTGGCGAAGAAGACGGGTGAAGCAACGAGAGAAAGTTGATAGGCTACAAATGCAAACGCTCGTCATTACTCGGTACGAATAATAGGAGTCAATGGTATACCTCGTGGCTAGGAGGTTGGGACGGACTCGGAGGTATCGAGAACATCGGCTGAGGAACCGGAGGCAGGGGCGGACGCATGTTGGCCTCGTCTGAGAGGAGATTCGAGAGGCGAGCAGAGCGGAGAGCGTCGTCTTGGCTGAGCCACTCTGTGGACGTGTGGAAGCGCTCGGCATGTCGCATATGTTCAGCTTGAAGCCGAGGGTCAACACGGTCACTCATGTGGTGCAGTGAGGTGGTGGATCCAAAGGCGGACGAGGAAGACGAGCGAATGTCGCCCATCGAGTCGTAGAGCGAGCACGGTGTGGCTTCCGTCCGGAACAGCGACGGGGGAAGCTGGGGCGACGCGCCGGCGTGTGCAGAGAACAAGTCTGGTGTACGAAAGGGGGCGCCGCCGGAGTCTAGCATGAGGCTGCTGGGTGTCGGCATGAGCGCGGGGGGATTGAAGTCGAAGGCAGGCTTGAGAGGAAAGTCGGGGCCGCGAGCGGGCGAATCGGACGGAGTAAGAAGAGACGAAGCGGCCGAGCAAGGAGAGAGGTCCGGAGAAGCATTGAGGTTGAGTGAAAAGGAAGTCTGCGTCTGAAGGGGAGGGAGCGGGCCTGGGGCAGGGGCCGGCGAGTTCAGGTCGAGAGCCCTAAGCAGCTGGGCAATATGCTAAGCAACAGAAGGTAAGTAACGAGCCGTAGGCTTGCATGTAGAAGGCGCATATACTGACCATGGCGTCGTCGTCAGGGCCACTGCGCCTCCTGCCGTCTCCGATGGCGCCGATATCACGCTTCTGTAGCTGCATAGGAAGCATGCCCTGTGGACCGAAGAAGTCGTCGTTGCGAGTAGTGGTCGGCGGCTGCTGTTGCTGCTGAAGGAGAGAGGGCACGCGTTGGATATCCGGGACGCGCGCGGTGACTTGGCGGGTGCGTTGATCGTCCGTCGACGCGAGCGTCTGAGAATTCTGAGGCCACGAGGGTTCCACGCGGCTGGCCTGCGGCTGAGGGGCCCATATAGATGCAGCGAGCGAGCGAGATGGTGGGGGCGGGTCCTGAGAGAAGAGGTTGAAGCCGGCACGGGAACGAGCAGGAGCGGTGGCGGTGGCAGTGGACATTTTGGCAGGACGCAAGACGTGGGGGACGAGGGAGAAGACGGATGGATGTCGCAGGAGACAGCCGAGAGGTTATAAGCACAGGCGGCGGGCGGGGGATGCGCGCGACGGGCTCGTCGAGCATCGAGGTCCTACCAGAGTAGGCAGGTGTCTTACCGGATGCGGTCGACCTTGCGGCTCGCATACCAGAAGCGGGAGTCGAGTCGGCTTCGCGCCCATCGTCCGCCCGTCTTCTCGACGCATCCGCCCACCGGCCGCCCTGCCCGCCCCCGCCTTTGCGATACACTCCGCGCCCGGCCTGCGGCTTGTCCTCTGAGTCAGTCAGACCTCTCGGTCTCGTCGGTTACCACCCGTCGTCATTATCTCATGAGGGTGCCGAGGAATGTGTCGGGAGGAGCGGGTCAACGTTCGCCATGGTATTACGGAGAGTCAAAACGAGGGGAGTTACTCGTAAATCTCCAATCCGGTGCTGGCCACGCATTTTCCCGCCTCGCGTGCGTCTCCCATTTCGCTGAATACATACCCGACTAAGCGGCGCACTAATCAATCAGAAAAATATGGCAGGCGCAGATCCGGCTCCTCTAGAATCGCGAATTGGTACAGAAGATAAGTAGGCCCGCGCCTGCCCGTACCAGGCCTTGCGACCTCGTCCCCCAGTTCCTGCGAATGCTGCCATCACAATCGCCTTTGTCGCGTGCCTCAGGGCCGCGTCTCCGAGGGCATGTCTGCAGAATGGACGCTGCTCGGTGGAAGTCGTAAAGACGGAGCAGACAAGGATGAAACGGCACGTCCAAACGCATTTGGCACCCGTATGGATGCTGCCCAACAGTGCGAGACGGACGCAGGCTCACGCTTCCGCACACCTCAATATATCCTTTTACGGAACACATACCTGTCTCGATCCCACGCATTTGCCGTTCAGGAGGATCTTCTCGCATGCAAGACGGCCTCGCGGCGATGATTTTCGCTCGACATGATCCTCATGGTCACTGGCCGAGCGGACGACGAAGGCGGCCGCGGCTGACGCCGTGCGATCGATGAACTTGAGCCCTCGCATCCACATCGACCCACCGCCACCAACATCTCCGGACGAGCCTTCCGGATGAGTCTCCGGGCGTAATGTGAACATACAAAACCAGACACCCGCATCGTGACGAGGACGCCTTACTTCTCTAGTCCTCGTCCAAATCGGTGCGCGGAAGAGATATGTGCGGCGTCCTGGACGGAGCCAAAGCGGGGCGGTTTGACTGCCTCTACGCCGAACATTGGTCCAGACA